CATTGTTTTTAAATCCTGAAAGCCTTAAGACATGACAAGCCTGCACACAAAATTGCTGGTCTGCCATATATCTGTAAAACAGCAACCTTTTTGCTTCTCTCAAAACATATCCAAACGTAACTTGCTTTGTGAGATCATATTTTGTTATCATATTTTCCATCTTCTGCCTTTTAGAAAATTTCATGCCAGAGTCCTCCTAAGATGGGTGAGAGTGACAGCCCCATTTCTAAAATTTTCACTTAATATTCAGGGAGCTTAAGTGTCATGGATTAGCTACATGTATTATAATTTCCTTCTGAACAATGAAACGCATTCATGGCATAAGCTACAAAATGCTCATAAGGGGTATTAGGTTGACATTAGTACTAACTTGTACTAATTTTAAGGCATATTGTGTAGTTTGCCACTAAGATTACATTGTGCCCACCAACTCATTCAATATGGAATACTCAAGTGCCAGAACAGATCATAGGTTTGGACCAGATGTGACTAGTTAATATCAGACTGGTTTAAAAGTGCTCCCTTATTAAATCTACTGCCCTTTATTTTGGTATGCATCTTCTGATACATGTATTTGAACCAAATGCTCGCCCAATAGATTTTTGTATTTATTGCTCCATTATTTCAGCATATAAAGCTATACTGTGAGCCATTCCCCATTCAGTCTTCAACTGCTGTTCTATTGTGTTTCTTTCAACTTTTATTTCCACAGAGATATGAGAGAAATGAAAAACCTTTTAAGTAAACTCAGGGAGACTATGCCTTTACCACTGAAAAATCAAGGTAGGTTTTGTATTTTCTTCATGTAAGGAAAATTAAGATAATTAAAGATTTTGCCTTCCATTAGATCCAAAAAACATAGGGTTTTTTATAGAAGTTACAAAAAGAAAAATCTAGGTGAAGTCTCTGCCCTACTGATTCAGTGGAGCCAGAATTCAGTATGTGAACTTTGGCCTCTCAAGTTTCACAGGAGGTATTCTGGAATTTTATAAATATCTGCTGACATGAAGGCAGCAGCACAACTAATTCCCTGTGTCAATAGGCTTTCTTTTTCAAAGGTAATGAAGGTGTAAATCGCACAGACTACGATAGGGATCCTGCTGAGTGATAGGGTTTCCTTTACCCCTACAAGGGTTGTTGCTTCTGTGACATGATACTGACCCTATGCAGAAAAGATAATTGCCTTGAGTCTGCTAACAGCCTGGTTTTCCCAGTAGCCAGCTATAAGGCACCCTGTACAAATGCACAGGGGGGCATTGTCTCCATCCTATGCTTGTATTTAGCAATGGGCCTTCATTTTGTGGCCCAGCAGTGTTAAATATGCCACATCTACAGGGACTCTCTTTCTTCATTAAAAGAACAACATTAAAAAGATAATAGTTTTTCTTTTTGATTTCTTCTTGATAATGTGTATTTCTCAAATGCTGTGTAGTCTTTGCACAGTGGCAGCTGATGAATTATGCCTAATGTGTCCCTAGTAACTAAGCAGTCCAGCATCCATCATAACATGGCAAGAGATGAATATAGATTGGATGAATTCATTAGTAAAGTTAAGAGTTTATGGCAGGATGGCTTGATGGAAAACTATGTGAAAGGAGAAAGGGAATTGTTTATAATACATGATACAGATGTGCCATTGTAGAGATTGGAAAAATGCCATAAAGTCTATGCCTAGCCTAGAAGAAAGGAGTGTGGTGGAAATAAGGAAAAAAAGGACAAATTTGGGGGATATAAAGCATATAGAAACTTGAATTCAGAACAGAGATAAAGGTATACAGAATTCTTCTCTGCTGTCTGATGTTTACACTGCCCTTCAACACTGGCCAGAAAATCCCTGATCACCTGTGCAGCAGGATGGGAAACATGTCAGCTAGAGTTTAAAAGCTCTGGGACGTGCCCCAGGATCAGGTAATCATAAGTGGTGTTTTTCTAGCTCCCACAGACTCCAACTGTGATCATAGTTTACAGATGACCTCTGAGAATGGATGCCTTAGGAATGGACAGTCATACTCATTATTCATACAGGCCTTAAAATTTTTGAAGTATTCCAAGACCATTAATTTATTAAAGCTAGATAACAGTATAAGTAAATAGAACAACCAACATTATACGTAATTAATATGGTCTGGACTGTAATTTTGACATGCATATGAATTACAAGCACTGTTTAAGAGAATTATGAGATGAATGAATGAGTTGGTCTTTACAAGACCTGATCTTGCTTTCAATAAATGAGCTGAGTGTTTTGCTGATTTCAGTGACAGCCAGAATGGAGTTAAGGTTGCAGGCCCACAAAAGGTTTACATAATATTACTGGCTGCTCACAGACCTGCTTTTTGTATGGAATTCTCTTAAGTGACAGCAGGAAAGTTACTATGCTAAGAAATTTAGTTGACGTGGTTTGTAAGCTTGAGTCACAATATTAAATGATCTCTTACCTATGTTCTTATAGTTAAGTATTTGTATTACAGTAGTGTCTAGAGCCTACAATCAAAACTAGGTCCCTGATGTAACCAGAATAGGAACATTATGAGGCATAGTTCTTTGCCTGAAACCATGCCTGAAGATGGCTCAAATTCAAAATGAATTCTAAAGATTTTGTGAGATAGTTCGCTGACAGTGCATGCATTAATGTAAGTATAGTCACTAATATATACATTTTGTATGAATTTAAAAGGAGTTAATACAAAAGGTAGAAAGATAATCAGAAACAGGGTGAGCATGTTGTGCTAACTTTCCCAGACAAGTGCTTTTTCTTTGGATGTGCCAAGATGTTCCAGTGTTGCAGTTTTAAATGGAAATTCTTCCTGATATGCACAAACAGCCACCCAATAAAGGTTTTTTTTATGTTTAAACGAAGCCAGAATTTAACCTTAGGATCAACATTTCCAAGCTTGCATGTCTGCAAGATCTCAAGCTACTTATCTTTACGTTTTATTTGGGACCCTATTATTCATCCATGCAGGAATATTGTAGCTTATGTCTCCCAGTACTGGAGGTGTAATTTCCTTTAGGTTTCGTCATTGAACTGGTATTCTTATTGCCAAAATTTCTATTGCATTGTCATTGAGATCCTGATAATTAGCATTATGGTAAGCATTATAATTACTTGTTTATTATTAATTATATTATTATTAATTATAATTACTATAATTAGCATTATAGTAAGACTTATATACAAAATTCATGTTATTATTTGGTCTATGCCTAGAACAATGGGATTTATTACTTGATCATGTAGGTGCTGTTAGGACATGTAAGTGTTATAAACTCTTTTGTGTGTGTGCATGTGTACATGCTTGTATTAAAATGTGGGTTTTTTCATCACAGATGATAGCAGCCTCCTAAACTTGACTCCATATCCATTGGTAAGAAGACGGAAGCGAAGATTCTTTGGACTGTGTTGTCTTGTCTCAAGTTAGAAGATTAAGTACAGAAGCACCAAGAAAATCATACCTTTGATTAAACCACTATTATTTGACCACTGAAAAAATGAACATTGCTACTGTTGATTATAAAGTACATTTTCTACACTAGCCTATTCCTTTTTCTCTTCTGCTCCATCCCCTTTTCAAAATAAGGGTTTTAATAGTTTAAAGTTATGGTGGTCAGAAACCAGCTGTGGAATAGCTCTAGCATAACTAAGAATGTTTTTAAAACTTTTTAAAGTATGTTTTGCATGCTTACTTTCAACCACTCAGAGAAAAGACACATAAATTATGGTTAATAGATAATTTTACAGGTTTTTTTTATTGTTTGAGCTGCAGCTAAAAGTTTGTGCATAGTACAGTACTCTTATTAGTACCATATTAAAATACTTGATCATATTCTAACAGTCTTTAAGCTTAGAAAACTATTTAACAGCAACAGTATTAAAGTTCTAAAACAAACAATATTCTAACAGAATTTGCACAAAATCTCCAGTTGCTTTTTGTGCTCTCATTCATATTTAGTCTTCCACTATATCTCAATTTAAAAGCTTCATAGAAAAATATCTTAATTTATGATACACAAACCATATATGAAAATACTTAGAACTTGTAAATACAGAGAAATCATAATATCTACATACTGTACAATGCATAGAAGCAACAGATTTCCTTTTAAGCCGATAGTATCTCTACAAGCTTTTGGAAAAAATAAATAATTTCTTAAAAGAAGGTGTATTAAAATAAACAATGTAAAACACAACACCAACCCATTTTGTTTCCAATAGAACTCAAAGCATGGTGTCTGCATATCACTAAGTATTAACTCTTATAGGGCATGCCAGAATTATCTCGGACTGTAAGATATTAAACGTTTTACATTGTTAATAAAGTTTTTTATTTAAATTAAATATTGTCTTCTTTCTAGTTACATTCCCAGAATATGTCTTTTTTTTCTAATTCTGTTGTCGGAGTACTACCCAAAGTTTTAATTTTTCCATTTCAAGAAGTATGTTTACAAAGACAGATAAAAAGTTGTGATGAATACATAAATGCTAAAATGACAGCCAGTAGCAGCAATAGATATGAATAGGTCAGACTCATGGTACTAATATTTCAGGATGATAGGCAAGACACCAGAACTAAACTTGTGCTAGATTGCAATGGTATGAAACCCATAACAATCTGTAACTACTGTACAGAGCAGGTCACCATACCCTTGTAGTCAGCAATACATGAGGAAGGTGACTATGAGCTCTTCTGCCATTCCACCATGACCCAGCACATCAACAGGAACCAAATTTCTTCTTACTGTGTAAGGGTTTAGTGGTGGGTAAGGAGGTATTGTTTCCTTGTCACAGGAAACATCCATACAGTTAAATTCGCCGTGGTTTTTTTTGGTAGGATATTATTACACTCCCCAAAGCCATTTGTTACAGATAGCTATTCCCTGAACTATATCTGGCACCTACAAAGTTTGATCTAACTGATTTTTCTACCAGGTTTTTCTCCTGGAATGCTGCTTGCTGAAAAAGGAAGGAAACACCCACATTGTCAGAAATATTAGTGTACTGTCTATAGGAAGGACCAAAAATTCAGATCTAATTCCCAAGAAGGGAAGGCAGAAAGGATATTTTTCTTTTCACTCAGATAAAGCGGAGTGTTTTGGTTTTTTCCAGGTTGGACTGATCTGTTCACTTTTCACCTTTCAGTCTCCCAGACAGAAAATGTATTTTTGAATAATCAGACCCCAAAATAAATGCTTTAAAAGCAATGAGGACAAATAAATCTAAAATGCCTTCATGGAAATTGTGTGTTTCCATAAGCAAAATTAGTTCCGTCTGAGGAATGCATGACTAAATTCTTTAAATAGTACATAAAAAGGTAACTGCAATGTGTTTTTAGATCACAAACTATTCTTCAGCGTACATGGCATTTAATGTGGGGAGATCCCTACATACTCACAAAGCTGTGTGCTTGTAAGTGCAAATGCATTTTTAAGAAGAATGGCATCAAAGTCCACAGCAGGACGTTTTTTCGAAGTTAATTCTTTGACATTTTCCCCATATCCCTCATGAAGAATGTCCTGATTTAATCAGATCCTAGTTTTCGGTAATAAGTAGTTAAATAATGTCCAAAAGATGGCAGCACTGACATGTTTTCATTAAAAGTCTGCAGACCAATAGAGTTGCTCTATGACTCCATCCCCAGAGATTCAACAGGTTTTGCAGCTGTTAAAATTTTGGAAGAATAACACCGGATGTCTAATGGTTATTAAAAAATATTGTCTGGGGAGGTGATCTGTAATTACAATTAACCAATTAATTTTGGTTCAGCATAAGTTAAAAAGGCAGACTCTTATACTATTTTAATAATCCTGTAGACACTAATGCCAAAAAGTGGTGTACGAACACAAGACTGAATATGCAGCGATGCTACAAGAGAGAAAGGTAGAAAGAAAATTTCACACAAGCAAACTGGTACTTCTTTTAAAATCTTGTTATATTGGTGCACAAACAGAAATTGCTCTATCAGGTCAGTGTGATAGCTTTTTTTTAACGACTTTCAAATGAAGGTGGGCAGATTAAGCAGTAAGTGTGTCTACTGCAGTACCTGCCCACATATCATCACATGGAAGTTAACATGCCAAGTTACATGACAGCTCATATGTCTGTATTTTTATCACATCTATTGCAATGGAATATACATTAGTGACACAAATTTATATGTGTTAATTAATTATGCAAAGGTCTTGATATCAGTCGTACTTCATCACAATGAGCTGCACAAACTTCAGCACATTCTGTGATGGAAGCAGATTTACATATGTTGTCTTTAAAGTACTTTCTGTTTGCACTATTTTAAAGTGTACAGTAATATGCACATCATTGTACCTTTTGTTATTCTGGAAACTTTAGTTGTGTCTGTTCTTCCTGAACTGAAGACCACCAAAATTTCAGTCTTTGCTGATTTTGAAGCCTACCCATACTTCTGACCAATTTTGCAGCTTCTCTCAAACTCCTTGTATTTATTATACATTTTACTAATCCTAATGGACACATGCTTTAATTCCTAAGCTTTATGGCCACTTAAGGAATATTGGTGATCAAGGGTGAATGGAATGTTCTTCAGTTATCTTTTAATAGCTGGTGGCCATGAACCAAGGCCTGGTAAGTATCTGAATTGAAGAGGTGTTAAAGGATAAAATAGCTTCGTTAGGAATGCAGAGGATTATCTTTCATAAAAATTCAAAAGGAAACAAAAGACACTTTTTTTAAGCCCCAGAACATCATGTAGGTCCAAGAAGGATAAATGGTCATGATATTACTACACTTTAGTTTAATGGAATAGGGCAATGTGGGATCAAAGTTAAACAGTTCCCACAACAAAATGATACAGAAACCACTCAGAGGTGACTTAGAACCATTCTTTTATTTGTTTATTTCCCAAATATTACAAAAAACCCCAACGCAATTTAGGGAAAATACTAAGGAAAATAGTACTTACTCTCTAAATCCTTAACAGGCTTTGAACATTTTAGTTGAAAATGCTGTAGGATAAAGGCACCACAACTCTTTTGCAGGGTAAGAAACAAGAAACACAATTTCTGTACCCACCAAATATGTCAAGTTCCACCAGCTCTTTTTTACTAAAACTTTGTGCAGCTCCAGCTTTTCAGAGCAAAACCAAATTCTTTATAACCACCATTCACTTGTAGTACCATTCTTCTTTCAACAGATATTTCATGTCATAAAAAACACCTGTCTAAAAAGTCAGTTATCTATGTACAGTGTAAAGTGTAAAGTTTTCCGAGCAGAAGCAAAATACAAGCACATAGAAATAGACAGTAAATACATATTGCAGGCTGCATGTTAATTTAGGCAATATATAAAAGTTAACATGCAAAATCTACATGTTAACTTATGCAACACATAAAAGGTTGTCCCTGTGACCTATTAACCATTCATGCCATAGCAGGCTTACTTAGGATGAGATACAATATAAAGACATTAATTTTTCAATATAAGGTAAATGTATAATTACAAATTAAAGGACCTTGAAGAGTTCAAAGAGCTGTCTAGACTGTGGTAATGCTAGGACTACTATAAGAGATGATGATGATGATGATGATGATGATGATGATGATGATGATGATGATGATGATGATGATGATGATGATTATTATTATTATT